TGCTAGTCACTTAATTTTCCAAGTCTATACAATAAAGGATTTAAATATCTATCACCAGGGCTCTTGGACACCTTATGATTTATTTTTGTCCTTTTTTTTAAAAAACAAACAAACAAAAAAACACAGAAGTTTAATATCTATAACACAGAACTATTACAGATTTGCCAAAATTTTAAAGCATTGCAGTATTGTACACATGCACTTGCTACAATTTCAATCTCAAAACCTACTTCTGACATTTATCTTCTTGCCCTAATATATCATTGCTCCATTCTATGTTGCAAAAAGTCTCAACGCATTCTCAACACATATAATGTTATAGAAACTGTTACAAACTTAGAAATTATATATACATACACATGCAGAAGAGTGAAAAACCTCAGTAGCAAAATCCCAAAACAACCCTTTTCCACAGTATGTGGAGAACAACTTGCCTCAGACTGCTCTACATCATAAAAATATGTTTCTAAGCCACCTCAATGCTATTTTTTTCATATTTTAGGTACACAGAAAATGATAGAGCATGAACTGGTGAAGATTACTTGGGCACTTTATTACTTCAGTTTCATTCTGGTCCTTGTCAGACCATATGGGAATAAAGATGTCTAAACGTCCACGTCGAGGGGACTAGCACTGCCTAGAGCTACACAAGGAATGGAAAAGAATTCAGCAAATTCAGAGGAAAAGGAAATGATACCCAGAAGACTAGTTCTATTTTCAGGCTTTTATGGTCTTTCTGATCACTACTGTTTTCCACACTCATGTATTTGTTAGGCTTACAGTCAAAGAAAGTTTCTAGCAAGCCACTAATCTCAATTTTCTCCTGTGCCACCAACAATTCATGTATTTCTAATGCCACAACTTCTAATATCACTAATAGCCGTTCTCATATGTCAAATACACCTGCCCTGTTGGCCAGCACAGCTAGTGAGCGAGCGCCTGGTGCGAGATGAGGAAGGGACAGCTGGAATTTAGGAGCACACAGACTGACAGCCCTCCAGGAGGAGCAAGTCAAAGGCTGCAACCAAACTATGCACAGTCATTATCCAGCAATGTGATTTTTACAAATTAACACTCAAATAACGAAGCTTAAACAAACACCTAGCAAACACAAGAAGAGAATAAATCAAGTTCTCAATGCTACGCTTTCCTTCTTCCCCTGAATAAATAATCTTAAATTTCTATAATTCCTATTAATAATATTACATAAAAACAAAAAGTATGTAGCTACTGAATGCACTTAAATAAGATACAAAGAAACAAATATAATACAAATAACAACAGAAAAGACAAGCAAACAAAAGGCTTGCAGGTACCTGTAAGCTAAAGTAATTACCCATCATGTCACACTGATAACTATGTTTTTTGCTAGACTGCTTTTATAAATTAACTTATCCACCTGCAAGGCAGTTTCTTTTTAACTGTGTGTCTTGTTTATCATTATTGTGGGTTTTGTAGTCCTACATAGCTCTTTATTACATTCAGCTAATAAACATCCAGGAAAAAGTTTTTGGATTTTAGAGGATTTTTTGTTTGTTTATCCTCACCCCTACCCCAAATGCTCTTCAGCAACATGCATTTCATTCCTGTCAATGTACAGATAAACCTGGTTTTACTGATCGAAGGCAAAAATACGCTTTATTTTGCATCTGTGGGGTTCAGAGAACAAATTGAGATTTTTGTAGCACAGGACTAACACCAGCAATGCTCAGCTGACACAGTAGAATTCTCTGCACTCTGAGCAAAATTAGCTGCTTCAACAGCGAACAAAACGGTGAACAAAAACACGTACTCGGAGGATTAAATCAGTTCAAGCTTTTTCGAAATCAAGTAGTGCAGCTGAACATGATAGAGGCTCCAAGCCATTTTCTTTAAAACTGAGTAACTCACTTGTTCATGTCCCCAGTTTTGTGAACGTGGTGACACTTACGGGCAAAGGAATAATAATAATAATGATAATAAAATAAATAAATTATATTTTAAAAGCATTATAGGTTTGGTTTTGGACAGAAAGATCTTTATTTACCATAAAACAGAAATAACTGCTGCTATTTAGAGGCAAGAACTAATAACCCAGAGCCTATGTACATGAATTGTCATTCAGAATGGTTCAAAGCCTATAGAAAACCTTGAGCTGCATTCATGCACATTGCCACAGTTCCTAAATTCTTCCCCAAATGCCACTACTCAGGTTTCAAAATACCTGCTAAGGTGCAGAGCAAAGTTCTGCACTTTGTGGCCTTTCATGTTCATTTTGTCTTTTTTTCCCCCCTATTACCTATTTGCCATCTCCCAGATATAAAAACCATTTCCCTCAAATCACACATCCAAAGTTTACCCCACACCGCTTTCTACACCAGCTGAAAGCAAGACAAGTTTTTAACAGTCTTAGAGGAAGCCGTGCTAAAAGCTTTTTTTTTTCCTTAGTTTCATGCCACAAAACAAATAGAAACCTATCTTATTATTTGACTTATGCTTTCAGCATTTAATCTTTTATTTTTTTCTCGTTCTGATTACACAAGCAAATATTCATCAAAACTTACATATAAAAATCTCTTCACAGTAGGGAAAAAGGCACAGGCGAGCAATGGCATGCGAGATACATGCACTGTGTTTTGAATTTTGTACAACAAAATACTGGTTGACTGTTCCATTTTGAAAATACCAATGAGAATTCCTGAGTGATATTAGTCCTACCAAATTATGGATCTGTCAAGATTTTTCTTGTTGAATTTGGACAAACAAAACATGTTTTAACAGCTAAGAATGGTAAATATATCAAGAGACTGTCACCAGGCAGCATACATTGGCTAAGTTATTCCTTATCTTTTGCATTTTATAATGGCCTGGAAAAGTCATTTATACTACTCTGTTTAAAAAAGTAATTACTTTGCAACTAATTCTGTTCTCAAATTGGGTTGACATGATATGCTCCTTTAAAGGTAATATTTTACTTTGATTTCATTGCTTTCATACGACAAATTCTATCAATTAACCCAAAGATTTTAAAAATATTATCTTATTTGATATTCAAACAAGATACATGGATACATGTATCCATGGATGATAAAAATACAAGTGCTTTATATAAGAGGAAGCTTAAGCAAAAACAAAACAAAACAAAAACACTGTACAAATGTGCCCAGAGAGGAAAAAAATAATAATTAAATAGAAAGAGATAGAAGAAAAGTGAAACAGCACATGCATGAAGGCATCAAAAAGGGAATGTGAATTTTAAATTGCTTCCAAATTATAAAGCTGAGTGACCAAGAAATATACTTTCACATAAAACATTAAAGCAAAATAGTAAAAGTTTGAAGATTTATCAGGGCCTTTGGAGCACAGAGTATTTTTAAGACAGAAACTAGCACAGATGTAAATATAGCAGAACATTGAGAGTTATATTTGCATATATCCAGGAAAAACAGTAAATATTTTATTTTTTCCCCTATTTGACATGTATTAACTTGGGCTTGTATATTCAACAGAACTGACACTAGCATCTTGCTTTAGCAGGTAATGCTGGACATGTCAGAACATTTGTTCTTACCTGCCGACAGCAGGATTTCAGGAAACTAGGTAGCAGTCCTGCAGGGTAGGCATGGACTTCTCTGATCATATTGTAACAATGAAAAGGGGGAAATTTGGAATGAACATCAGAGGATACTTTGCTAACTGACTGACAAAAGCAAACATAAAAAAATCCACAGCTTGCTGCAGGTACTAGTCAAATAATTCAGCCAATTGAGCAATAATAAAAAAAAAACGTTTACTAAAATATACATTCATCTCAATGTCATGATTTTAAAATGTACTATTACCAGGTTCTTGCTGCACCAAGGCACTGAGTACGATGCATTCCAAAGTAGAGGAGCATGACTTTTCATGTGGGAAACAATCAAATCTTGCCTGCTACAGACAAGTCTGTGACGTGTTAATTCCAAAAGTGAAATTTCATTAGGCACTCTAAAGAAATAACAACTGCTTTACAGCATGGACTGTTCCCAGCAAGATACACTACCACCTTCCTACATACTAGACCTATAAAGAGATATTTTTAAATTATTATTTTAATGAGTAATGACTGTTACAGGTTTAAGTTATTAAAAGTATTATTCACCATAAATTTTAAAATGAATGCAATAATATTTAAATAAAAAATTACTAATTATGCCCCAGTAGTAAACTAACAGAAGCAACCTCTACCTTTGTTATCTTTGGCAGGTTTTACAAGGCAGA